CTATTTCCTCTTCACTAAAAAAGCTCAAGACGCAGGGATTTCGCCCAGACGATAACTAAATTTCCATCATCTCTTTGCGATTTGGTGGGCTAGACTCAATTTGGTGTGATATTCTCCTTTGTTTACACGGTTTTCGCTTTGTTTACATTTCACGTTCTTGTCGCTTACGGTGGCTCTAGGGGCTCTATTTAAAATTTTATTATTCGCAAGCGTTTTAATTCATAGAGCTAAAACTTCAGGTCTAATTAAAAGAATCACACTTCTTTCATGTAGTTTAATCATATTTTAAATTTGCGACATACCAAAATTGACTTTTTGCGGTTAAAGTTGGGCGTTATTTCGACCCCCAAAACAGCACACAATCACGGTGAAAACAATGAAAGCCAAAAACTATATTTCAAAAGTTATTTTGCAAGACATTTTTATGCAGTCTTAAAGCCTTGGGCAACTGGTAAATGCATGTGCAACATCAAGTCAATAGGAGCTTTTGCGCATTTGTACTGCTTCCTTGAAAATTGTTGAAATTTGCAGCAAGTTCGAGAATAAAAAAATTGAACTTTTCCAAATTTCTCAAAATGTAAAGTGCCTTAGGATTTCTTGATATCATTTCCTGAAATAGTTCACCTAAAGGGTTGTTTGGGTGGTATTAACCAAAATGCGAATTTTTAGAACTGATTTGAGATTCTCGATATTTTCCGACATTTAGGCTCGCAAAAGTTTGAAAAACCACAATTTACGGTTGCTTTCAAATCGCCTGCAAGATATAGAAATTCTTTAAATCGGTACAGTGTAGGTAACTTATGGTAGCTAAAATATGAGTCATTTTATATATTTCCTTTATGGCAGCTAACTTGAAGATTGTAAAATAACTGGAACGATCACCTTCCAGCTGACCTTTCAAATTATCTTGCGCAGTGGGGATTTAGAACTGAATTTTTTCCAATGTGAAGATATTTTGTCTTTGCCTTTCATTAGAGCCGGGCATTAGAGTTAGCGGGTATGCACAATGTACCACCATCTCCAGTCCACGCGAATTTGTTTAATATTAGTCTGCGAGACAAAGAGTCAAGAAAGGTCCCATGATCATGATCCTCCGTGACATTCTTCGTTTTCTGACTGTAACACACGTACCCCTGTTTCGAAGCGTTTTCTTGTTGTATAATATTGAAATTATGTCCTTCTTTGCGGTGATCTGACTGATTTGACGACCTAATAACATAATAAAATCTACAAAGTGAATTTAAACACATGGGGGATTTGAACTTCAAAAGAATTCAAAAGCAATGTTTGTAAACGTGATGTCTCCCATAGGAGACGAAAAAACACCCTCTAGGGGAGGAGGGTAGGGTTAGTGTTCTTGTGCAAAAATCATGGCCGGTTTTGGCCGGTTGGGCGTTAATAGAATAAAAAAGTTCTCTGAAACACAAACGAAGAGAACGCTTCAAAATTCTTCCACTTTCACAGGTCGGTACAGGGCAACACGAAACGAGCAAAAACTCAGACTACAGCCATCCCCTCGTTAGGAACTCATGCGGTAGGACGCAGACCTGGGATCAACCCAGAAAAATACTTTTGTATTTCTTTCTACCCTGAACGTGTACACCTTATTCCAAAATGGCGGCAATACAACTTTCCTTTTATATTTATGTTAATAAGCCCTCTTTACCTCGATTGCACTTACAGAATTCAAAAGAAATTTTAAAGACCACGTTCCATGACTGTACTGGCGATATACTATTTCTTTGTTTGCAAGTCAAAACCCGCCTAAATTGGCTAATCCGTAGTTTGACAAACATGGCGACAATTCAGCGTTTCCGACCTCTTACTATGTAATGCAATCTTGGAAAGGAGGTTAACCTGAACGCTCGGAAAAACTGACTATTAAGGTGACCTCTTACTATGTATGCAACCTTATACATTTGTCTAGTTCTATTTTTTCGCTTGTTGTAGTCAGTATATTACTGATTACAGGGCTCAAAATAACGGCCGGTCAACGGACAATGTCCGGCATCATGGTGGACTTGACCGGTCAAACTCTCATCTTGCCGGTCATCTTGACCGGTCATTTTTGGATGCCAACCCTTTAAAATATTTTCCATACAGTTGCCGCTTTAATGCGTTTTGCTCTATAACACTGTAATCATTTCTTTTTTCTTAGCCTTTTTTTCCATGCTTTGGACTAAAACTTTTAAAGAAAACGAATGCCGCATTAAATTCCATGTTGTCATGTAATGAAACGCGACAAAGCGAAACAACAACAAACAGAGTTGTGGAGTAACACAACGATGCTGCAGGTCGTACAGTACTTTCTGCTTTGCTGTCATTAGTAATGTGACCTTCTTTGGGAAAACATAAACGTTATATGTTAGAAAATTAAAGGATAGCTAACAGTTTTTGTCAAGCAAACGTTTCACATCTACTTGTAAGAGGATTGTGAAAATCACCTTCGACGGAATTCGGGTTAATCGATCGCAATTCTCTACGTCCTGTACTGTTTCTCCGGGAATAAATTTTAGTGCATCGAGTAATTATATATAATTTCTTTATGTCGAACATAAATCTCGTTTGCGAACTCGATTGCAGAATTGCCTGATAAAAATTTAAGCTATTAATCGAAAAGGAACGTCGCCTATCTAGGCGCTTAAAATCCTCCTTCTTGTAAACAGCTTTATGCAAATTTCTGTAGATGTTTATAATGAGCCCTTCGCGATAAAGTGTTGCTCGATGGACGACCCAGACGAAAGCTCTGCTGTATATTTACTGACTTCTGATGATAAATACGCTGTTTGTGGAATGGATTTCTCGCCAGAATCAACTTCTTTGCCGCAAATATTTAGTGGAGCCGGGCAACGAAAAAGATCAACTTTCACCGATATGCAGCTATGGCAGGGGCACCCAACGAGAATATAGTTCAAAACCACTTAAACATAGCATTGTTAAACGTATTTTAGTATTTAAACGGTAGATAAAGGCATATTTTTATCCCCTAAAAATTTTTCATCTGTTCGGATTTCCTAGCTGAAAGTCTAGTGATCCGAAAATTATAGGGATCAAAAGTCGCCTTTTCGAAAATTTCAGCTAGAAAAAAGGCTCCCGAAAATTCTAGGTGACCTTTTTAGGGTAAAAATCCGTTAAAAATAGGCAATTATACCATTTTTTAGATGTTCGAAAATCGTAGGAGAGGCAGGGAAGCAAGAAATTTTACAACAAATGTTCCGAAAATTCTAGATCTCAAATCGTCTTCCGAACAGATATTCTTCCGAAAATTGTCGTTGGGTGCCCCTGCTATGGGACTTGGAGACTTGAGACACCGCAGTACGATGATACTCAAACCCAAAGTATATATAAACGGACATGAAAGTGGGGGAAAACCCCGGAGAGGAACTCAACAACTTGTGAATGAATTTCACCAACTTGCCGCGAAAAACCTGAACGTCAATGCAGTACAACGATCCATTGCCAGCGTAATTTGATATCCCATATAAGGCAAAAAAAAATTATTGTATTCATTATTTGACCGGCCAAAATCCGGGTTTGCCCGGCCAAAAAAATATTTGACCGGTCATCATGACCGGCGACCTACTGTCCGTTATTTTGAGCCCTGGATTAGGCATTGTTTTTATATGTGTATTTTGTATTGTTGTGAAAGCCGTAAGTTAGATAACTCATTGGGTTGTTACGTCACCTTCGTTAAATAAAGAATATTGTATTGTATTGTATTGAAAGGAGGTTTACCTGAACACTCGGAAAAACTGACTATTAAGGTGACGTCTTATTATGCAAATGCAACATTGGGAGGGAAGTTTACCTGAACGCTTGAAAAACTGACTATTTTAATAGTCATACGGCTGACCGCAAAAGAGATAAGCAGCCAATCAGAAAAGGCTGATTGACCTGTTTATTTCGCGGACTGAAATCTAAATCTCGTAGTTATTGCTGGCCTTCTTCACGATAACAAGCCGATAAGTCACTTAAAAAATTGGTGTTTTAGCAGAAAAACAGAGAGACAGGGAATCACAAGCCTTAGATTCTGGCTACATTCGCGGAATAATTAATTGTTACGCTGCAGATCAGAGGTTTTGCGAGTATGACTACCGAGAGAAGGCCTCTATGTACGTATACGTCTGCTAGAACAACAGGGATGAGGGATCGGTGAGTGAACGCTTACAACCTTGTGTTTATAGGAAGCGAAGAAGTTTGCAGTATTAATGTTTTACCCTTATAAGAAAAATGCAAAAACAAGACTGAGTTACTGAAGTGGCTTGCTAAAAGTCTTAGCAGTCGTTAAACATTTAAGCCGCGAGGCCCGTTAAGGCTACATGATTTGGTCGGTAAAATCTTATAGACAAATCAGTCTATTTCGCTATGATTTGTGAAGTCAACTGATGTTCTGTGCCAGTTAATTCTTCAAATGAAACTTTTTCTGCATTTTTGTTTTAATTATTACCAGTAATAAGTCCTATCTAGTCTAATCATTGAACTGAAATCATCCCTCCGTCGGATGCACTAATTTCTTCACACACATTTCTACCACACTAGTTTTCTTACTTTGCTCGAATTAAAACGGGCCCCTTAAGCCCTTAATTTAAATTAGCCAAACAGACCAAAAAATCCATCGACACTATTAAAAAGAGAAGTTAACAGCTTTAGAGAGGAATATGTTAGAAATAAGCAAATATATAACTCCGCAAATGCGCTACTGAGTTTCACAGGGATGTTCCACACGAGATGGTCCGGAAGAATTTTAATTTACGATGGACGAAAGCTACGTTTGTCAGTCCACATGTGCAATTTTGTGTCTTCGCCGAACCGTATCTTTGTTAGTTGTCAACATACCAACTATCAAAGTTAGCAAATGTTATTGATTTCAAGGCTCATTTTCCAGTGGTTTCGATAATTTTTCGCCTGCTGGTTTGTTTCAAAAGTTGGCAAAACCGTGTGAAGGTGTATGACCGTGTATTGATGGATTCGTATACGATTTTCGTGTGCTTTGAGGCGGTATGACAGCGAAGTGTTTGATGGCGACTTTCTGCCTAGCAAAAATGAAGGAAAAGACCTATATGTTCAACGAAAAAAATGCCATAGATCAGGGTATTTTAGCCACATCGAAAACTTTAGCTGTGAGCAATGCAATGTACCTTTTTGAATATCGAATATTGAATATCGAAGTGTGTAGCAGTCGTCATGCGGACCACTGAGGAAACAGCCATCACATCCTAGAGAGTCGACGTTAGTAGTATGAGGGGGCATGTGGATGAAAAAAAGTGAGGGGACGTCGGGGACATCGGGGATACTGGAAAAAACCAGTATCACCGGCAAGTCAGTCAAGTCAATCTGGTCTTTGTTCTGTAACCATTTTTGCAGTTAATTCTATCGAGTGAATTTCCAAAACCTAACTAAATGTCCTAGCCCTAACTAAATGTCCTAAACCTAACTAAATGTCCTAGCCCTAACTAAATTTGCTAAACCTAACTAAAATCTGTTGGGCGCAGTGTTTAGACCTAAATCAGTTGGGTGCAGTGTTTAGAGCTAAATCAGTTAAATCAGTGTAAATTTACACTACGTCAACAGATTAAACACTGCGCCCAACTGATTTTTAGTTAGGTTTAGGACATTTAGAAAGGGCTAGGACATTTAGTTAGGTTTTGGAAAATGACACTACGTCAACAGATTAAACACTGCGCCCAACTGATTTAGCTCTAAACACTGCACCCAACTGATTTAGGTCTAAACACTGCGCCCAACAGATTTTAGTTAGGTTTAGCAAATTTAGTTAGGGCTAGGACATTTAGTTAGGTTTAGGACATTTAGTTAGGGCTAGGACATTTAGTTAGGTTTTGGAAATTCACTCGATAGAATTAACTGCAAAAATGGTTACAGAACAAAGACCAGATTGACTTGACTGACTTGCTGGTGATACTGGTTTTTTCCAGTATCCCCGATGTCCCCGATGTCCCCTCACTTTTGTTCATCCACATGCCCCCTTATACTACTGACGTTTGGTTCATCGAAGGTATCTATCACAAAAGAATATGTACACTTCTTTTTGAAAACAATCGGTATTAGTCCTTAGCCCTAAATATGTGAATGCTGTGTCAGCATCAGAGCATCAGACTGATTATGTACTACGACAATAAAATGTGAGTTCTATATAAACCTAGACATGTAGACTTACATTAAAGTGACAGGAGTCACGGTACTTAAAGTAACGAAAAAATCGGTTTTTTTAACATTTTCATTTCCTAAACCGCTAATTTATAACGAAGAACGGTAATCCTTGGGAAAATGGCAAGATGACTGACCGTTATACACAGGTTTGACATCATTAGGCTAATTTTCAGAATCTAATGTAAAAGAATATGTAAGGATTGCAAATAACGACAAAAATTCAATAAGTTCATTGCCATCAAGAAGTAACAAATAATTTCATCTTCTGATTTTTATTCTTTATTTTGGTAGAGTAACATGCAGGAAAATGCCCTATGAACCTAGCAAATAAATACCTCAACCACTCTCAAAATTTTATCTTACTCAGCCGAGAAAGAAAAGTTAAAATTCTGACTTTTAAAAAAGGATGTGCATTCAATGAACGTCCAGTCTATAATTATTCTCATGATAAGTTATTTAAACATACAATTACCGCTATACACTGCACTGTGAAAGATAAATATGACCGCTTCGTACACTGAGACGCTAGGAGCCTAGTGCATTTCAGTTTTCAACTGTGGTCAATAGCCCCTTTAAAGGTTTTTAAACTTTTGACATGGACCAGTTACGGAAAACTTGCCAAGCATAAAAGCGATATACGTCTAAACTAGCGAAATATACATTGTAGCGCCGGAAAGTTGCGAAAATTTACTGTCGTTTGTATGAAGGGGGGCAAGTTTGTTCCCCCACCATACAAGACGTCTGTAAATTTTCGCGTCTTTGAGGGGCTATCAGTCTTGCAATTGGCTAGTTTTCAACAAATGACTTTGTATTCAAACTTGGCAGTTTTGAAATTGAAAGGCGCTTTTTCCAGCGGAGGCCGTGATGGATCATCCTTTACTTGTCCATGCCAAAAGGTTGAAAAAATCCGTTGAAAGGTCTATTGTATGACGAATCGTCCCCAAGAACGATTTGGAACAATAAATGTAACTTGTCTACATTATTCCACTTAAATGATTGATGTTCCTTTCTCAAAATAACGTTCTCTCTCCAGCACCCGGAAAAAGGCAGTGTTTTTATTAGTTTGTGTGTATACGGATTTCCTTTGCCTAACGTGCTTCAACACCAGCAAACGTAGCAGGCAACATACGTGATAAAATGTATTAAACATTGAAATAAACCCCGGGAATAAATAGAGAGTCAGTTCTCTCTTTATAACGAAGAAGACTTGTACGTACCAGTGTTTCGAAGTGCCTCCTAGGTGTACTAATGCTTGGATACGAATGATTGTCGTCCACTGAATCTTTTCGCATCCAAAGTCCAACAAGATTATCCAGCGTTCGTTCGATTTATTTGCTGCTTATTTTTTTGTGAAGTGCGAATCAATGCCGGAAGTAGTGTCAATCTCGATGCTGCTGTGAAACCCGCCTCAGTTTCTCGTAGAAAACATTAAATGAGTCTGTTTGTCGTCTTTCACTTATTTCCCAAAGGAGTTTAGTCTACTTATTTTAAAACTGAACTTTAACGACACCACAGTGAAACTGTTTTTAGAGCTCAGTGATGAATCACTGATTTAGGTTTGCATTTATAAAGACTTTAATTTGTATACGTTTGAACCAATCAGAAACCTTTGATCTGTTGACGTCATTCTGTTCCAAGGCAGGTCACGTTGTAAATATGTTGCAGTTCAATTTTGTTCTTGCTTTAAATTTTATTTTATTTCATATTTGTTTGTTTTTAATTTTTGGCATGGCAACGTACATTAATCAATTGTTGGTAAGTCAAGATGTATGGTGAGACCTGGGTGAGACTTTAAAATTGTTTGTTTATTGGATTTCTCTCCAGTCTATACAGTTCAGTGAATAGTTTTAAAGTTTAAATGATATACCCATCCCCAAAAAAAAAAAAAAAAAAAAAAAATTGAATTCCCTTATGCTGTCCCAAAAATATTTAACCTTTTGCTTTGTTGAAACAAACGTGGTTACCTTAAAATAGAAACCAGGCCCCGTTATTAAAATTCATGGAAGCAGCCTAAGTTTCTAATGATGAGGCTGGGGGCTAGGATAATGTTATATTTTGTAATGTTTTCTTATAGGGAAGATAATGAAGTTGCAGGACATGCAGTTGCTTCAGCAAGATTGCCAATAGAGCAAGGGGTAAGTAGATATTCACAAGCTCAAAAGGTTCCTGTCAGTATCCCAATATCAAAACCTCCCGATATTAGAAAAGATAAAATCACTTTTATCATTAGCACTGGAGAAGTTTTCTGCGGTTCATGTTTTCATTTGCTCCACGTCGCTGGCTGTTTTCGCAGGCTATGTTTCCATAAAGAATGTTGCCGAAATCAATATCCCATAAATCCTATCGCAAGTTGTGACTTAAAAAAAATTGCAGCTTTGAATTTATCTGTTTAGTACATATTCAAGTTTTGGCATCAGCACAGTTAGACTGCCAGGACCCGCTTCGGTGATAGTTGGATGCTGGGACTCACAAGAATTGTTTTTCGACGCATTCATTGAGAGACAACTTTTAACAAGAAAGTGACAATATCTCCTACGCTTGTTTAAAAATATGATTTCCACTTTTTGCAGGCGATCGGTGGTCAACAACCCATTGAAGGAGTATATCTTCCCATTCATGATGTAGAACAGACAGAACATGGATCTCAACAGCTTTTTATTGGTCAACCTAACGCTGCAGGCATTTATAATGGGCTGATGGATCACCAAGGGATCTCACCATTGCCAGTTGTGCCACCAAGATACCCTGACCGTCTGAAAGAGATACTTGTTGAGAATATGAATTTTCATCCAATGCAGGAGGTTCACTTATACCAGTTTCGATCTCGAAGAGGTAGACAGCCGATGCAGTACGCGGAGCAAACTAGAGGAATGCAGTTCAGAGATTGGTCCGAAGCTAGACCACCAGCAACTCAGATGCACTGCGGGCGAGGACGGACTGTTCCAACTGAGTCGTTCGCTGGAATCAGGTGCCCTAGATCTGTCGAGGAGACCAGCCAATTTCCGGAGCAGAATCAAGGAGGTGAACGCATGCGTGCATCCAGTTATCCACGACAGCTGACTTTGAACAGGTCAGTATACGTCCTCAAATTAAGCCAAACGCATATCCCATCGAACTAATTCGAGGGCTAGTTTAAATTTTTCCCGATCCTCTGGCCACGGGTAAGCAGTGCGTCATGTTACACCTTGACTTGATTGAAATCGCAGTGGTTGGTTTTACATCTCTAATGAGCTTGCAGGAATAGCAAAATCATGACGTAGTTTAATAGACAGTTTAATTTCTATGATCTTTGCTACCTAGCCTGCGAACGGCAGACATTTTTCCTCGCTCATCGCCGCTGAGGAACGTTTCGCGTTTCCTCCTCGCGAAATTAAACGTCCCTCAGCGGCGATGAGCGAGGAGAAACGTCTGTCGTTCGCAGGCTATTTGCTACCTAGTTACTTATTAATACGCTGAAAGGGTCTTTTAAAGAAAGCCATGAAATTCTAAGTAAACATCCGGAAATTACAGCAGTTACAGGTCATAATGACTTCCATAAACATCGCACAAGCGTCAAAGTTTACTTTTTTAGCCAGTATAGCATCCAAGTTTGTTAGCGACTGTTTCCAATTTGTCTTTTTCCCCGGGGGGGAGGGGGTAATGCCATATATGGGCTATATAGGTATGTGCAGCTGTGAAGGGTATGGTTTTCAAGCAGTTTATTCTAGGATAGGGTATATAAATCAGAGCGTTTGGGTCTAGAATAGGGTATCATTTTTCAGGAAACTGATCAGTTGGTTGCAGATTTTATCTAGACTAGGTAAACAGCTACTCTAGGATAGGGGGATTTGGGAAGTTTACTCTAGAATAGGGTAGCAAAATTCAGCTGAACTTAGCTCTGGTATAGGTTAAGGGTTCCGGGGTCCCAGCGGCACATCCCCGCCCAGAAATTCCTAAAGTACCCCCACCGGGGTCTTTTTCCCTATGCCACAACTCAAAAACCGCCCTTACAAAACCAACCAGACTTTTACGAAAAATGAAATAATCATCCTAAAATCGATTTTTCTCTACAGGTCAAGTCCACCAGAGCCTTTGTTAACTAAAGGTCAGATCTGTGGTGGAGATTATACTTGGATTATAGAGCATTTCTCTCAGCTCCTCCAGGGTGATAGTGATGGAATAAAAACATCACTTGATAGTCCTCCGATTTACACTAGTTTGTGTGGATACAAGTTCTTCATGCGTATCTACCCAAAAGGCGTTGATGGTGGAGATGGAAGACACATTGCCCTTTTTGTTGGTATGATGAAGGGGGATTTTGATAACAGGCTCAAATGGCCATTTTGTGGACGAATCTCCCTCTCCATGTTGGATCAAAGCAATGATGCTCACAGCCTCTGCAACGATGTCAGTGGCACTTTCATGGCCAACAGAAATCTTGAAGCTTTTCAGAAACCCTCTGCCAGCGGACAATACACTACCCTGTATGGCTACGAGAAGTTTGCGCCCATCGACACGGTTCGTTGCCCACAGTACTCCAAAGATGATGCAGTGATGATCAATATCGAGATTCACAAAAATTTCTAAACATTTTTCATATAAGAACGTACAACTTCTAGGCTGTAAAAACTCCATAAAATGATCTTCCCACTTTATGAATCAAAATAGATCCAAGTAGAAAAACTCCAACTGAGCTTCAATGATAATCATCACTTCTTGCAGTAATGTTTCTATACAGAAATGTTAGTAAATTAAAATATGTAGCCGTTAACTTTGCATTAGGTCTTAGATAGGTTTATAATTTGTTTTGAGGATTATTTTTACCATTTTACTCAATACTTTTCTTTTTGAATAATGATATAAACCTTAAGCCGATAGGAGTCAGTTATAGGCTCCTGCTAAGAGTAATCAGCATCAAATTTCTCTGTTCAATGTAAGTGCTTCATAAAACAGAGGGAAATCGATGAAAACAACACCAGACAAGTTGGAATTCCTAAACGTTCTCGATCCCACTTGATCCGTTTGGGAAATGTACAAAAGACAACAAATGAGGACCTACGTTTTTTTTATGTGAGGGTTTAAAAGGCCTATAAAGAGAATACCGACCTCAATAGATTTCGGATGTCCGCTCGAAAGAGATGTCTACTTAATACAAGTGTTTTTATTGAAAGTTTGAGGAAATAGTTCATATTCTCCAGTACACAAGTTTACGCTTACTGTAGTTGTGAGTTTCCTACATAGGGAGAGGGGTGGTACCTGGCCCCAAATATTGTTACCAGTTTCCGCGACGTAAATATTCGTACAGTTAAATGCCGCACATGCAAATACCTTCAATAAATATAATTTTGCAGCATTGTCGCTATAAGAGCCTTGGTAATGTTCGCCCGTTCTTTACCGTGTGAGAGGAAAATCATTGTTTTAGTCTAAGTCGAATGGATTTACTGTACAGTCTATTTCTTTTAGATGTAACGCTAGAAAATCGCCTAGCGTTATTTTTGCGGAAGCGCAAAACTAGGCCGTAGGTTTGAGTAGGTAGTGTAGTGTATCAGAGACAGTGGGGGAAGTTTCCCGTTATTTTCTAAGTGAAAAGTTATATTCCGCAATGTAGTCATATAGTGTATACCTGCAAATATAATGAAGGGGGTGGCGAAAAGTTTTCTTGAAATGTTACGTCATTTTAACAACATCGGCACCTGTCAGTTTACGTTGCAATAAAGGAGGTGAAAGCGCGCTTTTGCCTCGAGGTAGTGGTGCTTGCCGTGGAGATATTCTCAATTGCCAAAAGGTTGGATGTACCCTATGAGCAGAGTCTCCTAGGAAGATCGAAGGAGACTCTGCTCGCAGGGTAGGTTTGGTGGAGATCTTCATAGAATAATAAATTCCCTTAAAGACTAAACTTTGTTTTCTTTCGCCATCCCTATTTTATGCTAAGAAAAATGCTATCGTTAAGTTAAAAAGAGAGTGAAAATGCTCAGCTATTGAGTAGTAGTAGTATCGGTTGCACTTGTATAAAATCAATAAAGTAAACGTGAAACGTTGCGCATTATTTCGAATTATTTTTTTGATCATTTGATTGCATAATGTAAGGAGCCTGTGTTCAATACATTTTTTGGGTGTTGCGTTGTCGTGCTAGCTGTTGAAACTTGCCCCTGAGTATTTCTCTTTCTCTGGGCGTTATTACTCGCTGTTCTTGTGGGTGCTTGAGCATTGAATAAAAACAGAGAGGGAAAATATGGAAAATCAAAATGATAAAGCTTGGGAAGCCTGTGAAATGAGCCCACGTTTAACAACGGTAATCCAAGATGGCGGCCATGTCACGAGAAGGTCAGTTGTATTTTTTATTTTTAGATTTTGATTCTTCAGGAAAGCGTTTTTCCTATAATCGCGGTCATAATAATATGGTGTTTTTGTACTCAACTCATTTTTGTCTTTATACAGTGTCATGGTACCATCAGACGAAACATCTTCGTGTGTGGGTTAAATCACAGCGAAAGCCAGTGTAAGCTTGCTTTAGTTTTACAAAAACTAAAGAAGATGTCTTCTACAAGTAGCAGTCGTCTTTGTAACTGCTTCCGTTCGATGTGGACTTCAACAGTGCAGTGTATTGTGTCACAGGATGAGAGTGTTAGGCGGAGACGACGCTTGTTGTTGGGGATTGTTGTTTTACTGATGGTGGACGTTCTTTGGGTTGGCTCGTCAGAACTGACAGATGTGAGAACAAATTTAATACTACTTATTACTACTCTATTACCAGATAGCGTACGAAAATTACCTCCAAATACTTAAAAGGAAACCTTTTCATCAGAACATTACAATAAAAATTAATAAATGGTTTGCAACCATATCATCTGGCAAGGCTACTATGTTGGTGGACAATACAAAATACATATTTTCTTTACAGAAAATTTGTATGAGAACAGGGTTTAAAGTTCCCAGTAGAGAGAAAAGCTTTTGTTATTGACCAACAAGATGTTTACCATGATGTCGTCATATGTAAACCAGCTGATATGGTTGCTTTTATCAGGGGTGGATCATTAATTAGAAAAGTTATGGAAGGGGTGGGAACGTTTTTGAGCTGCATGATTTTTTTTTGTTAACATGTCCATTATTTCTTTAGTCTTTTTTTTCCTTGAATTAATTTTGCATGTGTGTTCTTGTAATCCTCTCCACCCCACCCCATCCCACCTCCTCCCATAGCTTTTCTAATGGTCTGCCTAATAAGTAGAAGTATCCATGGCAAGAAGCTGGTTGGACTGTGCAAATAACTAATAAATAATCCATTTTTATTGAGTTGGTTGGGGTTAGATTATGTCCTCAATACAGGCTACCAACCACACAACCTCTCTACCTTTCCAAAAACAAATCTGACCCCTTTGCAGTGGCATTTTCAAACCAAACTAAGGCCCAAAGTCCTGAAAAAAAAATTTTAGGAGACTGCCCCCCCCCCGCCCCTCCCCCCCATCTAAGAGTCTGGATGACCGGTTCCCTGTTATCTCAAAGTCTGGATCTGGCACTGCTCTGAACAAATTTTTGACACAGCTTTAATGAAAACAAAAGTTTGCTTTCCACTAGACCAGGGCTCGAAGTTATCTTTTTAGTGCACTTGCAAAGTTTTGCTAGTAAGATTTTTTTCGACTAGCAAACTGGTGAGACCAAAAGCAATTTATTTCCCTTTGTTTGGGAGACATGGATAATTCTAACTCGCAATTGTTTGCTAGTGGATATTTTTCTTACTCGCAGATTATCAAAATCACTCGCATTTTGCGAGTTTGCGAGCGTTAATTTCGAGCCCTGCTAGACAGTGAATAGTTACCATTGCTGGCATCGCAAAGTTGGGTAAATAAGAAGTTGAATGTGTAAGTTAAAGATTCTTACACTCTCTCATATCTGTCAAAAATCCATGTTGCCCAGATCTCCAGTACATCCATGATGATTACAATCTTGTTTATGTCTTAATCAACATTCTCACTGCTTTTTATGGTTTACACAGAATTAGGAATTTAGTTTTCTGCTATACTTACATCTAGTTTGACCAAAACCTTTTTCTCTGCAGTTTATTTTCAAATATGAAGGATTTGACAAGCCTTTTTTCACCACATTCTTCAAGACATCATCATTTATGATATATTTGACTGGATTTCTTTTTTATCAGCCATGGAGGCTTCAATGCATTACATGCTTAAAGAATGAAACATCCTCAAATGTAAGTGACAAGAAAGAACATGATGATCTCTATGCAGATCCTTAGATTATTATTTGCCATTTGCACAGCTCCCATAAAACACCTTGTTTATCTCCCAATTTTTGAAATGTTTGTAATTTTTCCAATTTCTTGTGAGATGACTGTAATACCCAGGTGGAAATTGAAACAAAGGGTGTGCAACTTTTGGCGGGGGGAGGGGGGCCGTGGGGGAAGCAAATAAGGTTTATTTGGGGTGATGTGCAAATTGGCAAATTAAACTTTCAAAATATTTTTTTTCATATTTAGGGGGGTCACCACATTTAAGTTCACATGCAACGTAGAGAATCTGTTGGTTAATTCAAGGTCACATAGGGCTTGTTATTGGCATCTCTTAATTTTTTTCACTTGAGAATGCAGCTGATTCCTTATCTTGAATAATCAATTACCTCCTGTTTCGTTCAACTCTCTATTATAAAATCTAAAACCTACTTCTTATTCTCAGTCAAAATCTGTGATCTTACCCTAAAATTTTTAAAGCTCCCCCAAATATGAACCAATTTCCTTTCCCAGGAGTTAGAAAAGTGGATGAACTGCTATAGCATTTTGTCTGGACATTTTTTTTTTCAGGTCTTGGTATCTGCTGTAAATCAAGATAGTGAACACACATCTCTTTTAAACTCACCTTCATCCTCAGGGGAAACTACCCCAATCCGAAGACCACTAATGGTGAGTTGCATCTTTTTAAACTTTCAAAGGAAGCCACAGTTAAAATTCAACAAATTTCATAAATTTCATGTTACAAAATGCTGAAATAGAGAGGTTTCCCTTGTACGGTGACGGTCACTTCATAAAATTTTGTGCAAAGACTCAAAATTATAACAACTTACCATATATTGATAAAATAAAAGATTAAATTAATAGCAAAATAAATGACTCTCTACCCCCTAATGGTACCTACTACTTGTCAACTGTTTTAGTAACATCTCTTGACACTCTCCCAGTAAACAGTGTTGAAATATCCGGGTGAAACAAATTAATGAAAACCATCGGTTTCATTTTAGTAACAATGGTTAAACTCTGTTTGCCTGTGGCCTGCAGTCTTCATTACTGTCTTTTGTTAATTGTCAGAATGAGCCAACTTTTGAAGAAATGACAGATGAAGACATTTCAACCAGCCGATCAGCTGAAGTAGCTAGTCGTTCCTTTGAAATAATTCCAAGTAAGTTAAAAACACATGCCTTGGAGAGAGATTTACCTAGTGCTCAGTAATAGTCTGGGTTCCCTGTGACTCACATCCAACATTGTCATTGTTTAAATTTAAAGTAAATTAATGGTAACTTGTAATCACATGCATGGCACACTATCAACTGCAAATACTTTGCAAAATCAGATAACAAAATTAGGTAATTTTACAAGTGGTAATCAAGCGAAAAATATTTTGAATATTGGTCACTTGCTTTAATACACTCTTTATCTTAACTATATAACAGGACCTAGGCGGGTGACATTTAGCAGTGTGAGAGAAGTGCGGCAATTATCAGGTAAATACATGTAATTTGGTTTATTAGGGAGCTTTTTTTGGACAGTATTTACAGCTCAGTCATAAAACATTTCCATGTTTTGAATGGAGCAAATTTGCATTTTTCAGACCATAATTCTGAATAGGCAAGGTTGACTAGACTTCCTTACCACTTGGGTGAAGATCAGAAACTTCCTGTCCATCGTGTTGCTAAGGTTGCCTTGCTATTCTGCTTACTGGTGAGTTGTGAGGCTTTTTTGAAGTAGTCTGGGGGGTGGGATAGGGTGTGTGTGTGTGTGTGTGTGTGTGTGTGTGATGTGACCAACCCCTCTCTCCAGGGGAAGCTAACAAATCAACAACAAGCTGCAGGTGAGTGGTTTCCCTGCAAAGTTTTGAATATTTTGACGCCATTTCCATGGTCCATTAATAGTGGAGAATATGAAAAATTGTTGTTGATTTGTTTTTTTACAATAACATTGACAGTTTTAACATCCATTTCCTTTGAAATTTCTTGAAAAGTTACGCGCACAAGACAGAGAGAAACAAATTGTGCCACCAGCACATCATTTCCAATGGTCAATCGAAACACTTCGGAGGAGAGAAGTATTTGGTGTCTATGTTTAACATCTTGCACACCCCTTGCCCTTCTTACAATATTTTTTAAACATTTATTTCCTCTTAAGTTTCTTGCATTCACTCTTGGAGATAATGATCGTAAGATTAGGGAAAGTCAAATTAAACATTTTTTTTTCTCTACTGACTAGCTTCTCTTCCACAGTGGTTTTGTGCAAACTGCACTTATCAGGAAGCCATTGCACACACGTCTGTATATGCATCTATTCTCCAAGTGAGTATTATCCACACTTTTAAAATGTTATTTTTTGTCTTTACCAAGTTTTAAAATAGGAAAATCAAGAAGATCTAGTCAGTCCATCTGTCTGCTGTGTGACACCAGCTAACTCAGTGGCAGGGAATAGCAATAATGATTTTCACTTTTAACAAAGTGAGAGCAAGCAAGTCAGACCGTCTGAGAATCAGGCTAGTGTGTAGTAAGCTTAGGCCCGGTTCAGATGCCGCTCCACTCATGTGCCGAACCTAATTCAATTAGGTTCGACTTTAGAACAACATTGGCGCGACATCTTATTCTGGTGGCGTACTGTGTGTTGAGCCAAACCTTCGGAGTTGGTTATGGGACAATTTAGAAATTATCGTAATGACCATAATGTATGCATTTAGTTCGGCACATGAGAAGAGCGCCGTATAGCCTGTTCCAGGTGTTCAGATCGTGGGGACAGTGCTGTACTCCACTATCTGAAGGCCTGGAACAAGCTAAGCGCAGCATGGATCACCTGGTGCTCCAATATAGAATAATGACACAGCTTCTGCCGCACTTGTGCAGTACTTAATAGACCTTTTCACTATTTATGACGCCATCTTGGCTGGGGCCCAAAACGTAGCTAAAATTACAGTGAATGTATGGGATTTTTGCCCACTTGAAACTGTTGTAAACGCCACTACAAAGGGGCAGTTTTCCACAGCGAAAATATACTTTATTAAGGACATTTGTACTGAGATTATTTTCATAAAGTATAAAGAAGAGATTCAGGCTATAACAACCGTAAACGAATTTTTAAGATCTTATACAAACCCTTCTAATCAACATTATGCAAATTACCATGAAATTGGAAGCCTTCGATTTTACGGACGTCGTACCTTCTTAGCCTTATTTTCTGTTGAATAATGTTTTGTTGTCTGTAACAAAATAATTATTTTTGACCAGGAGACATATCCAGTTCAACTTAAAGCTGTAATTTTGTAATCTACCAGTAATTTTGTCATTGAAGCTAAGTTCCATCCTGAGTAAGGACGTTTAATATTTGCAATATTAGCAAAATGAAGTAGAAAACTGTGACACAGCCCCTTTACCCGACATGGAAGTGTCTACAAATCAAACAATTCTGATGTTCCTAAGTCATATATATGCCCATACTGCCTTATTCTACAATGATTTTTGACACGAAATGAGACAATACCATAAGTCATTAACAAAAGAACTAAAACAGAAATTACACTGACTACAATCAACACTTTATAATCGTGTTTGTGTTCTTTTAGCAGATGCTGCACTGCTTGTAATTAGCCATTGTTTGGCGCTGGTTTAATGCCCAGTAAATGACACATAAGAGAGTATACATTCACATTTTCAAATGGTTCTGAAACAAAGCCTTCTTTGAATGCAGGTCCTTGGGCAAGAAAAAAGGGGTGCATATCAGGGAATTGGTTACTGTAGCCATGGTTACCACGACTGTCTATTCTCGACTTGTTTTTTGTAATGGTCCATCCTTCTTCTGCGACAATGAAAATCGGCATGAGACGACGGTTATGCCTGTAATGAAACTCTTCAGGTATTTCTTCTTTAAGGTATGTATATAGACGTGGAACAGTCTTGAGCTTTTGGTAAGTGTCATTCAACTTTCCTTTCTTGGGTAGAATATGAAAAAACACATTAGAAGCATGGTCTTCCCTGTTTGGATCAGTGATGAGTGTATACCAGTCTGATGGAATGTAAAAATCCAGCTGGATGAGACGGAAGTTGTTGACATCTGCCATGCCATGGTCGTTTGTGATAATCAGGTTTACCTAAAATGGGTCATAAAAATACAATGGAAATATATTTAGATCCATCAGTTGTTACCTAATGATAATCTTATAGGACACACAAAGAGTTACTACATCTTAACATATATATAACATATCACAAGCGTTTACTAAAAGACATTCTCTTCATAATTGAATAAATCCAGTACCACAAATGAAGAGCAAAACAGTATGTTTTTTTCGTCCTTCACCTATTTTGACCAACTTTACTGGCCTTCATCAGAGTGAATGGCTGTTACAAGCATCACACACCTTTGACAAAAACACTCAAATTTGAAAATTTGCATGCGCTACAAAGAAAGATGCCCGCATGCTTTTTACCGACTGTGAGACCTATAGTAGCCCTGTTCTGGCTAAGAAGAAGTCAGTTTAATTTGAGCCCTGAGGCTGAATGCAGTTCAACATAATAATAGGCCCAATTAATCCTGGAGTGCTGACTTCCCCCCAGAGTCAATAACTACCACTTATAAACCTTGTTCAGTTGGTCATTACAGGGAAATCTCAGACTAAGGTCAGACATTTTCCTGTAATGACCAAATGGACGAGGTCAATAAGTTATTTATTATAAGGCCTTTTCATTATGGACCTGAGCCTGCAATCAATTAAAACCAGCAGCAGTGGATAACTGTAAAAAAAAAAAACGTGTCTGCACTTCAGTGAGTTGTACACTTGACCCGGCGATACAGTCATGTGACACTGGTCAGTGGATACCCTATTTGACAGCTGTCAATTGACTATTACATGGATGTCCATAAGGATGTTAGCCTGAGTATCAGGCGTTTCTGGGGGAAGGCCTAATACTCAGGCTATAAGGATTTCCACTATCAAGTTTAGCACAGATTTTATATGCCTTGGACAGCCAGCTAGTAATGTGCGGCCAAATTTACAAGAAAATAATGCCTACTTAGCAGCCAATCAGAGCATGCATACTATTGTAGCCATTATATACTATAACTCATCTAGATTTAAACAGTCTTTAAAATGAAAGTTGGAGAGCAAGTGTGGCACAGTGCTGACAGCACCCATATAGTTTTGCTCCTTTTTTGAGGACAGCACCCAGAAAATGGCCCAACTAGCTCTAAAAGATGTTTTTCAGCAAAATTTCCAGGAGTGCAGTGATTTTGTTACAAATAGTTGTGGGCCCTGGGACTCATCTTGTGAAAATTCATGAGTCCCAGCCATAACCAAAGAGTCCCTGAGTTGAAAAAACAAAGAATCCTTAGTTGGGAGTTTATGTAACCATGCAGACAGTTAATCTGACTCCAAAACTCTGTATTGCAGTTTACCTTCTTTTATAAACCACAACAAAGACAAACCAATATTCGTTGTTAAAAAGTAGCCACATTAGAACAGCCACAGAAATCGCACAAACAGGATATTCTACAAAAGCATCCTTAGATCAATCGATCGACCTTCGTGTCATATGAGACGCATGCCAAAAATTATTTTGCGTCTTTGGGGATTTTTTTTTGCATCAAATTAAGATGCAGGCAAAGAGGTATTAAACAGAATCACTGGGAGTGTGAATGGAATATTCTGAACAAAAAATCTACCATATCAACATCAATCATTCCAAAATAGCTAAACAATTTCCATTATGGCATTGTGTTGACATCTGATGGAGAATCATCATTGGCTTTAGTAGTGAATAACCCTAGGCATTGGGTGTGATCTAGTCATACACAAAGTATCCTGGATCACTGATGTAATCTAAACCCAACCAATTACCAACCAGATTGGCTGATCCAACAATGGCTTCTTTACGAGTCAATCATAGCACATGCAATGAACTCCAATCCTGCATGGGGACCCAGAACAAGAATTTCGGTGCTCAGACATGCAGACAGACTTAACCAGGGATTTAGTTTTGCTTGTAACACAGGCCAGCAGTGCACAATAACAAGGAGTGAAAGGGCTCCGTGATGGCTGACACACCGAAAGTGTGATCACGCTTAAATAAACTTAATCATCGCGTCCATAATTAATTGATGAAACAATCGTCGTCAGCTGATGTGAACTTTTCACAGTAAACTGATTGATTTGGTTGTTATTTAAGCTTAGATCTTCTTACCTGATTCAACAATCCTCGATTTCGTAAACTTTCCAACAGATATCCAGTGACATTATCCATTCTACGAATAACACTTTAATCTCTGGTGAATTAGGGCCAAATTTATGGCCACTGTGATCTGGCTCGTTAAAATAAGCGGCCAAAAAGCTTGGAGGATCATCCTGCTCTAACATTGTACATAAATAATCTATTCGTTTCTCGAAGGAAAGTGACCGATTATAGGGTAAATAGTGTGTAGGGTACTGGCCTTCTATTTTCACTTCTGAACCAGGCCAAAACACAACAGCACTCTTCTTAAAAGCTTTTTTGATTCGTGATCCACACTGGTTCTCCGTTCCACCATTTTGAATCAAGTAATGCTTTGACACGGCATCTAAGTAGAAAGTGTCGTTGAAAACAGGATCGAAAAACGTATTTGCTACGATCCCGTGGATTTCCTCATAAAGTCCTGTAACTATCGTGAAATGATTCGGGAATGTCTTGGTAACAAAAGTATTGAGAAGGTGTTTCGCTTTGATGCCATTACTTCCGATAAAATTCAAACTCGGAGTATGAACTTTCTCCATGTAGTCCTACCGGAAACTATCGTACGAGACCAAAATTATAGTGGGTTGTGTCATCGATTCTCTTATTAATCGAGGCGAAGGCGTTACGATTAGGAAGAAATATGAACACTGTAAAAGCTTGATCACTGACCGCTAAGCATCTCGGTCGAATTTCGAAACGCTACTATGGGAACGAGTCTAAAAGTTAGGCAACACGTAAAATATTCGGTCGGGGAAAACGCTCGTGGGGCGCACGTGGCACGGGCTTCTGACTTGACCGGCGGTTTCACACCGCAAAAGAGCCTACGCAGCCAACCAGAAAAGGCTGATTGACCTGTTTATTTCGCGCACTGAGGTCTCGTAGTTATTGCTGGCCTTCAATTCCTAACGATAACATCCCAAGCCGATAGGTCACTTAAAAAATCGGTGTTTTAACGGAAAAACGGAGAGACAGGGAATCATAAGCCTTAGATTCTGGCCACATTCGCAGAATAATTAATTGTTACGCTGCAGATTGAAGGTTTTGTGAGTATGACTACCGAGAGAAGGACGCTATGTACTTCTACTAGAACAACAAGGATGAGGGATCGGTGAGTGAACGCTTACAACCTTGTTTTTATATGAATCGAAGAAGTTTGCAGTATTAATGTTTCACCTTTATTAGAAAATTGCAAAAACAAGACTGAGATACTGAAGTGGCTTCGCTAGGAGTCTTAGCAGGCGTTAAACATTTACACTCTTTTTTTTATATATAAGAATATATTTTATAAGAATATCGAGGCTGAAATTTGCGAAATTTTAAGAATATTTTAAGAATAACATTTTGAAAAGGATAGATATAATTCTGTGTGTTGAAACATCTGTAAATACAATACAATTTTATGTTTTTAAATTAACCGTATAAAATTTTTCCTTTCTCTGAACGGCAAAACTAGCCAACAAAACGAAAAAACCTGCACTAGCTATAGCAAAATGTTCAACGCTAATGACAGTTCGATGAACGGTACATGTAATACATATACATATACCCCAATAAATTCTAAAACGGAAATGTCATAAGCTATAATTTAAGAATAATACAAGAATATTTTCAGCCTAAAATCGGCAGAAAAATAGGAATATTCAGCCTGGGCCGGAAAAACAACATTCTTATAAAAAAAAAGAGTGTAAGCTGCGAGGCCCGAGCTGCACGACTTGGCCGGCAAATGCTTATAGACAGATCAATATATTTCGCTATGATTTGTGAAGTCAAACTCTGTGCCAGTTAATTCTTCAAATGAAACTTTTTCTCCGTCGACACGACTAAAAAGAGAACTTAACAGCTTTAGAGAGGAATTTGTTAGAAACGAGCAAATATATATCTCCGCAAATGCGCTACTGAATTTCATAAGGGTGTTCCACACGAGATGGCAAGGAAGAAGTTTAAAGCAGCTGTGTCACGAAATTCAGCCAAATTAGGAAATTACAAAATGTCCGTTTAATTAAGAGAAACATAAAAATAACCGCTTAAAACTTTAAAGGAAGGTTAAAATAACATAATAGAATCAACAGATGTCACGGATGGGCAAAACTGAAGAGGATTGAAACGGATTGAAATTAGGATTTTTGAAAACTGTTCAGCCTAACAGTTTTTCAAAGTTTATCCCTGTTGCTTGCAACTTCAAAAATAATGCTCAGGAGATATATTTATTTGTCTCGGGTCTCTGATTTTGTCATTTACATGTAATTTCTTTGCTTACTTTAAGTTCCATAGCGATTGAGGGCGAGTAATTGGCAAACTTAAACAAAATGAACTGGACTGCCGTGACACAGCTCCTTTAATACGATGGACGGACGTTACGTTAGTCCACATGTACAATTTTGTGTTTTCGCTGAACCATATCTTTGTTGGTTGTCAACATATCACTATCAAAGTTAGCAAACGTTATTGATTTCAAGGCTCATTTTCCAGTGGTTTCGATAATTTTTCGCCTGCCGTTTTGTTTCAAAAGTTGGCAAAACAGTGTAAAGGTGGATGACCGTGTATTGATGGATTCGGATACGATTTTCGTGTGTGCTAAGCCGTGAGGCGGTATGAAACAGCGAAGTGTTTGATGGCGATTTTATGCCAAGCAAAAATGAAGGAAAAGACCTATGTGTTCAACGAAAAAAAAAATGCCATAGATCAGGGTATTTTAGCCACATCGAAAACTTTCGCTGTGAACAATGTACCTTTTTGAGTAACGCTTATGGTGTGCAGTCCTCATGCGGACCACTGCGGAAACAGTCATCACATCCTTTACATTTCAAGAAATTAAGCAAAACTCCGAAACTGCTCATGAGAGAGTCGACCGGTTCAACGAAGGTATCTTCACGAGGTCTTATACCATTTTCTAATACCTATCATAAAAGAATATGTATAATTCTTTTTGAAAACAATCAGTATAAGTCCTTAGCCCTAAATATGTGAATGTTGTGTCAGCATGAGAACAGCAGACTGATTATGTACTACGACAATAAAATGTGAGTTCTATCTAAACCTAGACATGTAGACTAACATTAAAGTGACGGGAGTCAAATTACTTAAAGTAACAAAAATATCGGTTTTTTAACACATTCATTCCTAAACCGCGAATTTAAGAACGGTAATCCTTGGGAAAATGGCAAGGTGACTGACCGTTATATACACTGCCTTGACTTCATTAGGCTAATTTTCAGACTCTAATGTAAAAGAATATGTAAGGGTTGCAAATAACGTCAAAAATGCAATAAGATCATTGCCATCAAGAACTAGCAAATAACTTTCTCTTCTGATTTTTATTCTTTATTTTGCTAGACGAGTTAACATACAAGGAAGTGCCCTGTGAACCCAGCAAAATAAAAATTCACCTCAATCAGTCTCTGATCTCATTAATATTTCATGTTACTCAGCCGAGGAGGTAAAAGCTAAATTCCTGAATTTTAAAACTGAAAAGGATATGCATCCAATGAACTTCCAGTTCAGAACTATTCTCAGTTATTTAAACGTTATCTAATTACCGCTATACACTGTGCAATAAAAATATGGCCGTTTAAAATAAACCGTACTGGTGCTTATTACGTGTGATCAATTGCATAACCAGTCGTTCCCAGGATATAACTTGGAACAATGAAGGCAACTTGTCGTCAACATTAATGAACTTGATTGTTGTTTTATTAAACTAACTCTTGCTAACTCTCGGTGAAGCCAGTCTCTACTGTTACATGTAGTTTGTGTCTATGGGTTTCCTTTGCCTGACGTGATTCCCAGTAGCTGAAAAAGAAGGCAACATGGATGATAAAATGTAACATCGAAAACAATGAGAGAGTCGTGATGTCTCCTAGGTTCCCTATGATGAAAAGGGCGCGTACGTACCAATGATTTGAAGTGTCTCACAGGTGTACTTTTGAAAAAATACTCGGATAGGAGTGATTGTCGTCCAGCCTTCTCACATCCAAGATTGACCTGAGAAATTTGCTGCTTGTGAAGTGCAAATCAGTGCCGGAAGTAGTGTCGATCTCGATGCGGAACAGCTGCCTGAGCCGTGGAACACTCTTCAGTTTCTCGAAGAAAAACTTAGTCTTTACTTATTTCCCGACTAATTAGGAAGTCCAGTTATTTTGCATTACGACACGAAAGTGAAACTGTTTTAACGGCTTAAATGTAAGTCTGCATGTAAGTCGTGAGTCATCCAGGTCTGCATTTGTAAATTTTTTAAATTTATGCACGTTTGAACCAATCAGAAACCTTTGACCTGCTGACGTCATGCAGTCACGCTATTGTGTTTGTCGTGGTGCACTTTTGTCCATGGTATAATTTTATTTATTAAATTTTTTTGGCGCGGCAACGTACATTCATCGATTGTCAAATAAAACTAAAAGTTTTTGGGCATATGACGTGAACCTTTCAATAATTGAATCAAAGGAAAACTCGGAAAATTTTCTTTTGTGTAATCTTGGCCATAAGAAATGGTTAAACTTTATTTCCTATTCACTAAAAAAGCTCTTGATCTTGTTGTCTTCCGCAAACGCAGAGATTTCGCCCAGATACCTAAATTTCCATCATCTCTTTGTGATTTGGTGGGCTGGACTCACTTTGGTTTGATTTTCTCCTTTGTTTACACGGTTTTCGCTTTGTTTACATTTCACGTTCATGTCGCTTACGGTGGCTCTAGGGGCTCTATTTAAAATTTTATTATTCGCAAGCGTTTTAATTCATAGAGCTAAAACTTCAGGTCTAATTAAAAGAATCACACTTCTTTCATGTAGTTTAATCATATTTTAAATTTTCGACACACCAAAATTGACTTTTTGCGGTTAAAGTTGGGCGTTATTTCGACCCCCAAAACAGCACACAATCAATGTGAAAACAATGAAAGCCAAAAACTGTATTACTAAAGTTATTTTGCAAGACATTTTTATGCAGTCTTAAAGCCTTGGGCAACTGGTAAATGTATGTGCAACATCAAGTCAATAGGGGCTTTTGCGCGCTTGTACTGCTTCCTTGAAGATTGTTGAAATTTGCGGCAAGTTCGCGAATAAAAAAATTGAACTTTTCCAAATTTCTCAAAATGTAAAGTGCCTTAGGATTTCTTGATATCATTTCCTGAAATAGTTCACCTAAAGGGTTGTTTGGGTGGTATTAACCAAAATGCGATATTTTCCGACTTTCAGGCTTGTAAACTTGGTTTGAAAAAGAGGGTCTCAATGGGGTGGTGGCTTTTACGGTTATCGGCTAAAATTTTGGCTCTTTTACGGCTATCGGTTAATATAGTTAACGAAAAAGTTAAAAATTAACTTCTTTTGTTTCAAAAAGTTCAATATTAATAACCTGTATTTTTTTTAATAAAGGTCCTTGGATCATCTCGGGATGGAATAAGCTATTCTTTTGAAAAATTTCAACATTTGATAGATCATACTTTTTATAAAGTATTCCACTTCTAATATTATTTTACACTTAGAAATGTCAATAGTAAATTTAAAAATAACCTTTGTGAAAAAGCAAAAGCAGACACGCGAATGCCCAACCGGCAAGGCCGGGGCGCGACATTCATTATAACAGAAATGTCCGTTTTCACACAGAGAAGGATTATTCGTGTGAGATGGGTTATCCGTTTGATGATTTGCGTGAGATAGGTAATACGTCTTAATTTGAAAATGGAATACTTTTAATTTTGAATGAACAATCCGCCTGACTTTTGAAGACGGGATTATCCGTTCCAGATAGCCTGTGTACAGCCGCCCCTCCCCTCAGAAAAAAAAAATCGGAGAAGGGGTGTCTGTGGGGAGGACGCGACTGTACACAGGCTAGTCTCAGACCGATGATCCATTTCTAGCTCTGGTGTGAAAACAGCCAATAACAAAATTTCCGTGTCCATTGTTTTTAATGATAGCGAAGGACTGTACGGAATGACTGTTTGCCCTGGTCTGAGCGAGTTAGGTCATACGGCTGACGTCAGAACGGAAAGAGAAACCAATTAAAGACCGCAAAAGAGATAAGCAGCCAATCAGAAAAGGCTGATTGACCTGTTTATTTCGTGCACCTAAACCTTGTAGTTATAGTTGGCCTTCTTCACGATAACAAGCCAATAAGTCACTTAAAAAGTCGGTGTTTTAGCAGAAAAACAGAGAGACAGGGAATCATAAGCCTTAGATTCTGGCTACAATCGCAGAATAATTAATTGTTACGCTGCAGATCAGAGGTTTTGCGAGTATGACTACCGAGAGAAGGCCGCTATGTACGTCTACTGGAACAACAGGGATGAGGGATCGGTGAGTGAACGCTTACAACCTTGTGTTTATAAGAAGCGAAGAAATTTGCAGCATCAATGTTTTACCTTTATAAGAAAAATGCAAAAACAAGACTGAGATACTGAAGTGGCTTTGCTAAAAGTTTTAGTAGGCGTTAAACATTTAAGCCGCGAGGCCCGTTAAGGCTCCATGATTTGGTCGGTAAAATCTGATAGACAGATCAGTCTATTTCGCTGTGAAGTCAAATGTTCTGTGCCAGTTAATTCTGCAAATGAAACTTGTTCTACATTTTCGTTTTAATTATTACCAGTAATAAGTCCTATCTAGTCTAATCAATGAACTGGAATCATCCCTCCGTCGGATGCACTAATTTCTCCTCGCACATTTCGCGAACTTCGTTTACTTTGCCGGAATTAAAACGGGGCCCCTTAGGCCCTTAATTCAAATTAGCCAAACACACCAAAAAATCCATCGACACTACTAAAAAGAGAACTTAACAGCTTTCGAAAGGAATTTGTTAGAAACAAGCGAATAATTTTGTTCCGCAAATGCACTACCGGAATTTCACAGAGGGATGTTCGACACCGACTTGGTCCCGGAGAAAGTCATGCCCGATGGACGGAAGTTACCCCGTTTTACCACATGACCTGTCTTAATCTTCGCCGAACCATATCTTTGTTAGTCCGTCAACATACCACCATCAAAGTTAGCAAACGTTATTGATTTTAAGGCTCATTTTCCAGTGGTTTCGATCATTTTTCGCCTGCTGGTTTATTTCAAAAGTTGGCAAAACCGTGTAAAGGTGGATGACTTTCATGTGCTTTGAGGCGGTAAGAAACATTGAAGTGTTTGATGGCGATTTTATGCCTAGCAAAAAGGAAGGAAAAGACCTATATGTTCAACGAAACTTTCGTTGAACATATAGGTCTTTTCCTTCCTTCCTTTCTGAGAAAAATGCCATAGATCAGGGTATTTTAGCCACATCGAAAACTTTAGCTGTGAACAATGTACCTTTTTGAATAACACTTATGGCTTGCAGTCCTCATGCGGACCACTGAGGAAACAGCCATCACATCCTTTACATTTGACAAAATTAGGCAAAACTCCAAAACTGCTCATGAGAGCGTCGACTAGTTCATCTAAGGTATCTTCACAAGGTCTAATACCATTTTCTAATACCTATCACGGAATAATATGTACAATTTGTTTGTCAAAACAATCGGTATAAGTCCTTAGCCCTAAATATGTGAGTGTTGTGTCAGCATCAGAACAGCAGACTGATTATGTACTACGACAATAAAATGTGAGTTCTATATAAACCTAGACATGTAGACTAACATTAAAGTGACAGGAGTCACAGTACTTAAAGTAACAAAAAAATCGGTTTTTTAACATATTCAATTCCTAAACCGCGAATTTATAACGAAGAACGGTAATCCTTGGGAAAATGGCAGTGACTGACCGTTATATACAGGTTTGACTTCATTAGTCTAATTTTTAGACTCTGATGTAAAAGAATATGTAAGGGTTGCAAATAACGACAAAAATTCAATAAGGTCATTGCCATGAGCAAGAAGTAACAAATAACTTCATCTTCTGATTTTTATTGGATCCAATGAACGTCCAGTTTATAACTATTATCATGATAAGTTATTTAAACGTTATTCAATTACCGCTATACACTGCACTGTGAAATATAAATATGACCGCTTCGTACACTGAGACGCTGGGAGCCTAGTGCATTTCAGTTTTCACCTGTGGTAAATAGCCCCTTTAACGGTTTTTAAACTTTTGACATGGACCAGTTACGGAAAACTTGCCAAGTATGAAAGCGATATACGTCTAAACTAGCGAAATATACACTGTAGCGCCGTAAAGTTGCGAAAATTTACAGTCGTTTGTATGAAGGGGGCAAGTTTGTGTCCCCCACCATACAGACGTCTGTAAATTTTCGCGGCTTTGAGGGGCTATCAGTCTCGACTAGTTTTCAACAAATGACTTTGTATTCAAACTTGGCAGTTTTGAAATTGAAAGGCGCTTTTTCCAGCGGAGGCCGTGATGGATCATCCTTTACTTGTCCATGCCAAAAGGTTGAAAAAATCCGTTGAAAGGTCTATTGTATGACGAATCGTATGAAGAATCGTCCCCAAGAACGATTTGGAACAATAAAGGTAACTTGTCTACATTATTCGACTTAATTGATTGATGTTCCTTTCTCAAAATAACGTACTCTCTCCAGCACCCGGAAAAAGCCAGTGTTTTTATTAGTTTGTGTGTATACGGATTTCCTTTGTCACCACCAGCGAACGTAGCAGGCAAAATGCATGATAAAATGTATTAAACATCGAAATAAACCCCGGGAATAAATAGAGAGTCAGTTCTCTAGTTTATAATGAAGAAGACGCGTACGTACCAGTGTTTCGAAGTGCCTTCTAGGTGTACTAATGCCTGGATACGAATGATTGTCGTCCAATGAATCTTTTCGCATCCAAAGTCCAACAAGATTATCTAGCATTAGTTCGATTTATTTGCTGCTTATTTTTGTGAAGTGCGAATCAATGCCGGAAGTAGTGTAAATCTCGATGCTGCTGTGAAACCCGCCTCAGTTTCTCGTAGAAAACATTAAATGAGTCCGTTTGTCGTCTTTCACTTATTTCCCAGAGGAGTTTAGTCTACTTATTTAAAACTGAACTTTAACGACACCACAGTGAAACTGTTTTTAGAGCTCAGTGATGAGTCACTGATTTAGGTTTGCATTTATAAATGCTTTAATTTGTATACGTTTGAACCAATCAGAAACCTTTGATCTGTTGACGTCATTCTGTTCCAAGGCAGGTCACGCTCAATCGACTTGTAAATATTTGTATCTGTTGTAGTTCAATTTTGTTCTTGGTTTAAATTTTATTTTATTTCATTTCATATTTGTTTGTTTTTAATTTTTTGGTATGGCAACGTACATTAATCTATTGTTTTTAAGTCAAGATGTATGGTGAGACTTTAAAATTGTTTGTTTATTGATTTCTCTCCAGCCCCCCCCCCCTTCCCAATTTCCGTTGAAGTTTCACCATTTAATGAAGAACAGATATAAACGCTCGTCTGCAGAGGGTCGGACAAAACCTTCAGAAACCACACCGTTCGCCCCAATCGAACTCGGGAGAGCTGGACTGTCATGAGAATGAATGACTGGTGTCTTAAACTGCCGTAAGTGAAAAGCGGGAAGGGACAGCAGTCGATACAGTTCAGTGAATAGTTTTAAAGTTGAAATGATATACCGCTCTCCCCCGTCCCCATCCCCCCTCCAAAAAAAATTGAATGTCCTTATGCTGTCCCAAAAATATTTAACCTTTTGCTTTGTTGAAACAAATGTGGTTACCTTAAAATAGCAACCAGTCCCCGTTATTAAAATTCATGGAAGCAGTCTAAGTTTTTAATGATGAGGCTGGCGGCTAGGATAATGTTATATTTTGCAATGTTTACTTATAGGGAAAATAATGAAGTTGAAGGACATGCAGTTGCTTCAGCAAGAGAGCCAATAGAGCAAGGGGTAAGTAGAATGATATTCACAAGCTCAAGAGGTGCCTATCAGTATCCCAATATCAAAACCTCGCGATATTAGAAAAGATAAAATCACTTCTTATCCTTAGCACTAGAGAAGTTTTCTGGGGTTCATGTTTTCATTTGCTTCACGCCGCTGGGGAGAAACGGCTGTTTTCGCAGGCTATGTTTCCATAAAGCATGTTGCCGAAATCAAAATCCCATAAATCCTATCCCAAGTTGTGAAAAATAAAATTGCAACTTTTCTGTTTAGTACATATTCAGCACAGGTAGACTGCAAGGACCCGCTTCGGTGATAGTTGGATGCTGGAACTCACAAGAATTGTTTTTCGACGCATTCATTAAGAGACAACTTTTAACAAGAAAGTGATAACATCTCCTACGCTGGTTTAAAAATATGATTTCCTCTTTTGTGCAGGCGATCGGTGGTCAACAACCCATTGAAGGAGTATATCTTCCCATTCATGATGTAGAACAGACCGAACATGGATCTCAACAGCTTTTTATTGGTCAACCTAACGCTGCAGGGATTAATGGGCTGATGGGTTCCCAAGGGATCTCACCATTGCCAGTTGTGCCACCAAGATACCCTGACCGCCTGAGAGAGATACTTGTTGTGGATACGAATTTCAATCCAATGCAGGAGGCTCCCTTATACCAGGTGCCATCTCGAAGCGGTAGACAAACGATGCACTACGCGGATCAAGCTAGAGGAATGCAGTTCAGAGATTGGTCCGAAGCTAGACCACCAGCAACTCAGATGCACTGCGGGCGAGGATGGACTGTTCCAACTGAGTCGTTCGCTGGAATCAGGTGCTCTAGATCTGTCGAGGAGACCAGCCAATTTCCGGAGCAGAATCAAGAAGGTGAACGCATGCGTGCATCCAGTTATCCACGACAGCTGACTTTGAACAGGTCAGTATAGGTCCTCAAATTAAGCCAAACGCATATCCCATCGAACTAATTCGAGGGCTAGTTTAAATTTTTCCCGATCCTCTGGCCACGGGTAAGTAGTGCGTCATGTTACACCTTGACTTGATTGAAATCGCAGTGGCTGGTTTTACATCTGTAATGAGCTTGCAGGAATAGCAAAATCATGACGTAGTTTAATAGACAGCTTAATTTCTATGATCTTTGCTACCTAGCCTGCGAACGGCAGACGTTTTTCCTCGCTCATCGCCGCTGAGGAACGTTTCGCGTTTCCTCCTCGCGAAATTAAACGTCCCTCAGCGGCGATGAGCGAGGAGAAACGTCTGTCGTTCGCAGGCTATTTGCTACCTAGTTACTTATTAATACGCTGAAAGGGTCTTTTAAAGAAAGCCATGAAATTCTAAGTAAACATCCGGAAATTACAGCAGTTACAGGTCATAATGACTTCCATAAACATCGTACAAGCGTCAAAGTTTACTTTTTGAGCCAGTATAGCATCCAAGTTTGTTAGCGACTGTTTCCAATTTGTCTTTTCCCTATGCCACAACTCAAAAACCGCCCTCACAAAACCAACCAGACCTTTACGAAAAATGAAATAATCATCCTAACACCGATTTTTCTCTACAGGTCAAGTCCACCAGAGCCTTTGTTAACTAAAGGTCAGATCTGTGGTGGAGATTATACTTGGAAGATTGAGCGTTTCTCTGAGCTCCTCCTGGGTGATAGTGATGGAATAAAAACATCACTTGATAGTCCTCCGATTTACACTAGTTTGTGTGGATACAAGTTCTTCATGCGTATCTACCCAAAAGGCGTTGATGGTGGAGATGGAAGACACATTGCCCTTTTTGTTGGTATGATGAAGGGGGATTTTGATAACAGGCTCAGATGGCCATTTTGTGGACGAATCACCCTCTCCATGTTGGATCAAAGCAATGATGCTCACAGCCTCTGCAACGATGTCAGTGGCACTTTCATGGCCAACAGAAATTTTGAAGCTTTTCAGAAACCCTCTGCCAGCGGCCAAAACACCACTCTGTATGGCTACGAAAAGTTTGCGCCCATCGACACGGTTTGTCGCCCACAGTACTCTAAAGATGATGCAGTGATGATCAATATCGAGATTCACAAAAATTTCTAAACATTTTTCATATAAGAACGTACAGCTGCTAGGCTGTAAAAACTACATAAAATGATTTTCACACTTTATTAATCAAAATACATCTGAGTAGAAAAACTGCAAAAGAGCTTCAATGATAATCATTACTTCTTGCAGTAATGTTTCTATACAGAAATGTTAGTAAATTAAAATATGTAGCCGTTAACTTTGCATTAGGTCTTAGATAGGTTTATAATTTGTTTTGAGGATTTTTTTTTACCATTTTACTCAATACTTTTCTTTTTGAATAATGATATAAACCTCAATGAAACCTATGTTAACCCTAAGCCTATAGGAGTCAGTTATAGGCTTCTGCTAAGAGTAATCAGCATCAAATTTCTCCTTTCAATGTAAGTGCTTCATAAAAAAGAGGGAAATCGATAAAAACATCACCAAACAAGTTGGATTTCCTAAACGTTCTTGATACCACATGATCCATTTGGGAAATGTACAACGGACAACAAATGCGGACATTTTTTTATATGCGGGTTTAAAAGGCCTATAAAGAGAATAACGACCTCAGTAGCTTCGGATGTCCGCTTAAAAGAGATGTCTGCTTAATACAAGCGTTTTTATTGAAAATTTGAGAAAAAAGTTCATATTCTCTAGTACACAAGTTTACGCTTGCTGTAGTTGCGAGTTTCCTACATAGGGAGAGGGGGTGGTACTTGGCCCTAAATATTGTTACCAGTTTCCGCGACGTACTGAAATATTCGTACACTTAAATGCTGCACATGCAAATACCTTCAATAATATAATTTTGCAGCATTGTCGCTATAAGAGCCTTGGTAATGTTCGGCCGTTCTTTACCGTGTGAGAGGAAAATCATTGTTTTAGTCTAAGCCGAATGGATTTACTGTATAGTCTATTTCTTTTAGATGTAGAAAATCGCCTAGCGTTATTTTTGCGGAAGCGCAAAACTAGGCCGTAGGTTTGAGTAGGTAGTGTAGTGTATCAGAGACAGTGGGGGAAGTTTCCAGTTATTTTATCAGTGAAAAGTTATATTCTGCAATGTAGTCATATAGTGTATACCTGCAAATATTATGAAGGGGGTGGCGAAAAGTTTTCTTGAAATTTTACGTCGTTTTAAAAACATCGGCACCTGTAAGTTTATGTTGAAATAAAGGAGGTGAAAGCGCGCTTTCGCCTCGAGGTAGTGGTGCTTGCCGTGGAGATATTTTCTATTGCCAAAAGGTTTGATGTACCCTGCGAGCAGAGTCTCCTAGGAAGATCGAAGGAGACTCTGCTCGCAGGGTAGGTTTGATGGAGATGATTCATAGAATAATAAATTCCCTCAAAGACTAAACTTTGTTTTCTTTCGCCATCCCTATTTTATGCTAAGAAAAATGCTTTCGTAAAGTTAAAAAGTGAGTAAAAAACGCTCAGCTATTGTGTAGTATCGCTTGTAGTGTCTTAAATCAATAAAGCAAACGTGAAACGCTACGCATTATTTTTTTATTATTCGAACTGCACGTACATTTGATTTCATAATATGAGAATCTTGTTTGATTTCAGTCCGTTAGATGGCCATCAATAGCCATAGATCAACATGTAAATAGTCCCTGACTTCCATTCTTCTTTCATCGTTTTTTAAGAGAAAAGATTCGTCCCAATGATCCCGGCTCATCCCATCACGTCCGGGCCCCACCTCACTCCACGATCCGTTTCTCACAGTTTTTCCAAACAAGTTCTAAGGAAAAAAGAAACAGTTTATGGTAACTGAGTAAATACTACTTCATCTGTAATATAAAGGCCAGCAGTCCTTTTCACCGCCGGGGTTCAAGACATGAGTTCCGCTAGAGCCCACTGTACCTCCAAATTAAAAAAATACTTTGACACTTCTGTAGACAAAAGCAAATATATATTAATATAATCATGAGACTAGGGTAATGGTCACCAGAACCAAGGCACGTATTTTGGGAAGCTTCCAGACGAGGAAACTGACAGGAAACAAGGGAAACGTGGGGTGTAATGGGATGGAGAAGGATGGTCTGGTGGCTCTCGGGGACGAAGAATGTGGTTTCCTTCATGCAGCTCAAATAAGGAGGGATGGGGGGTTCACGTTGGATGGTGGGGTCTTCCCTCTTTCTTGCATCAAGGCTGAGGTGTTTCTATTGTTGTTCAACCGTCGGCTAGGACCATTTCGGGATGAAAACATAGTAAAAAACAAAATCCTATAACATCTTTTATAACAGGCCAGGAGCCCATGAACAGGCCTATTTGTCCAGATGTTTCCTTTTATGATTAAAATCTTGCTGCGTAAAGAAGATTAGTGCATTTAATGTAATCTCTAGGCCTTTCCCTGTACGAGATTACATTTAAGTATCATTTGCGGATACATTTCTCCTTGACTATTGATTTTCTTAAATTTTTGCTCAATTTTGGAATTTTCTGACGCAGCGAATCTTTACATACCCGACTATCCTACGAGTAGCTGTGCCCCTCCTCCACTCCTTCAGAGAACATGGGGTCCTCCACTTCCACTGTCTCTCCGGGGGAGGGTACGGCTACAGGTAGGCTAGTCTGAGTGACAGGTAAGAAAGGATCCGTTGTGTTAATTGTGTTTTGTCTGAGAGAACCCCCTTCCCATCCTTCACACTTGATCTGATATCATTCATTGTTTTCAATACCCAAGGTGTCAGAAGGTTTTCTTTCTTTCTTCTTTCTCCTCAAACATATGTCCCTACTGATGATCATTAATTACAAGATTGATAACAGCCATTCAGAGCCCAAGGGGGTTCCCGAAGGGCAGATTCTGGCCCTAACGTGAAGTCACCGTTCAGTGTGATGGTCTTTTAGGCGTTTTCTCGTTGCTTTGTGGTTTGTTGTCGTCGCTTCATGGCTCAAGAATATTTCAAGAGAAATATGGAAGCAATGCCCTGGAGCTAAAGGTGTGTTTTCTAGTGATGTTAAGATCCTCGATGTCCTATAATAAAGTGGTAAAATGTTTTTTCCTTTTGGCTGACAAGTAAAAATTAGCAATCGAGGCTACTGAACACTTTTTATACTTAATTAACAACATACAAGAAATACTCGAACACAACATGTAAGAATGTTTGTAATAACAACTGTAAAAAAATTCAGGAAAAAAGAGATTTCAAATGTACAGATATAAAAAATAATTTTCCTGTAAAAAAAAATTAAAATAAATTTCTATAGTCTAACAAATCTTACTATCATGATGGGAGCCAAGCTCTGTGGAAAAATCGTAGGGAGCCTGTGAAATACAAAGCACCCTGCATATTATCTTTAAGCAAAAAGAGATTTCCTGGTGGCTTTTTTTAAAGCAACAATATACGGGCTTTTGGGGGGCTAAGGTAGCACAGCCTTGGGACCAATATGGGATATTGACAATATTATCATTACTTTCAAACTAATCAATAAATTATAATACTACTTATGTTTACTTGACATCACTGGTCAATAACTCGTTATTATTTTATTGTAAAGGAGATGGGTCATGAAATCTATTAAAATTCAAACAGTGGGGAGCTGCCACAAAATCATTAATTGAGTGAGACATTAAAATAACAGCTCAAAACTCTAAAAGAACAGTTTTTCAAATGTTTTGTTGTCTGTAACAATCAATATTATTTTTGACCAGGAGATATATCCAGTTCAACTTAAAGCTGTAATTTTGTAATTTACCAATAATTTTGTTATTGAAGCTAAGTTCCATTTTGAGTAAGGACGTTTAATATTTGCAATATTAGCAAAATGAACCAGAAAACTGTGACACAGCCCCTTTAACCCACACGGAAGTGTCTACAAATCAAACAATTCTGATGTTCCTAAGTCATATATATGCCCATACCACCTTATTCTACAATGATTTTTGACACAAAATGAGACAATACCATAACTCATTAACAAAAGAACTAAAACAGAAATTACACTGACTACTATCAACACTGTATAATCGTGTTTGTGTTCCTTTAGCAGATGCTGCACTGCTTGTAATGAGCCATTGTTTGGCGCTGGTTCAATGCCCAGTATATGACACATAAGAGAGTATATATTCACATTTTCAAATGGTTCTGAAACAAAGCCTTGACTTTGAATGCAAGTCCTTGGGCAAGAAAAAAGGGTTGCATATCAGGGAATTGGTTACTGTAGCCATGGTTACCACGACTGTCAATTTTCGACTTGTTTTTTGTAATGGTCCATCCTTCTTCTGCGACAATGAAAATCGGCATGACACGTCGGTTATGCCTGTAATGAAACTCTTCAGGTATTTCTTTTCTAAGATATGTATATACCGGTAGATGTGGAACAGTCTTGAGCTTTTGTTAGGTGTCATTCACCTTTCCTTTCTTGGGTAGAATATGAAAAAACACATTAGAAGCATGGTCTGCCCTGTTTGGATCAGTGATGAGTGTATACCAGTCTGATGGAATGTAATCATCCAGCTGGATAAGACGGGAGTTGTTGACATCTGCCATGCCATGGTCGCTTGTGATAATCAGGTTTACCTAAAATGGGTCATAAAAATACAATGGAAATATATTTCGATCCATGAGTTCTTACCTAATAATTATCTTATGGGACATATAAAGAGTTACTACATCTTACCATATATATAACATACCACAAGCATTTACTAAAAGATATTCTCTTCATTATTGAATAAATCCAGTACCACAATGAAGAGCAAAACAGTATGTTTTTTTCGTCCTTCACCTATTTTGACCAACTTTACTGGCCTTCATCAGAGTGATGGCCATTACAAGCACCACACACCATTAATATGACAACAACACACAAATTTGAAAAATTGCACGTGCTAAAAAGAAGGCTAGATGCGCGCACGCTTTGATTCGCTGTGAGACCTAGTAGCCCTGTTCTGGCTAAAAAAAGTCACTTTCATTCAAGCCCTGAGGCTGAATACAGTTCAACATAATAATAGGCCCAAGGTTTTTTTTTTTTATCTTGGAGTGCTGACTTCCCCCTAGGGTCAATTACTTATAAACACTTATTAACCT